CTCCCTCAAAGAGACTCTGACAAGGACTAGACATATCAGAGAAGGGAGCCTCTGCTTTCTGCTTCCTGGAGGATGTGGCATTTGATGGATGCACCAGATCGTGTCAGTAAGATTAGAGAGTAGGGGTCATTCTAAACACTGGAGAGACCATTGCTAGAGTTTTAGAGGTAGAAAAGGGCTTTTGGTATGTGAGTTCAGATGGATTGAAATCTTGGGAGTGAAACTCTGAGAGGTTCTTGGGGGCCTTTGTGGAGATCTCAACGCCCAGCCTCAGAAATGGGTCCTTCACTGAACTGTCAGGAGGAGCCACAGGAAGATTTCAAGTGGGGTGTTGCTAGGAAGTTGGGCCTGGGCTTTCCAGGCAGGATGTGTGGGGCAAGGGGAGGGGAGAGTGTCTGGGGCACTGCAAGCCTAGAGTGGCTGCGGAAACTAGCTTCCCTTTCTTCTCCATGGCCAGCTAGGAAGAACTGCATTTCCCTGGGCTGCAGAGTTCAGGCAGCTGGATGCTCCGGCCCTCTCTGTGGGCTCTGGCTGTGACCACAGTGTCAAAGACAAGGAACTATGACCATGGGTCCCAGGGGAGGGCCAGGCTCTGGACTCCTGAGCAGGGTGGTCACTGGCAGCTCACCTGTGTCTACTTCTGACTCTAGTGTGCTGCAGGGCCTAGTGGCCCAAAGACCAGCATGTGTCTGGTATTTATCTAGCCGGCACTTTTCGAACCCTGTGCTATGGGTGAAGAGCACAAAGATGCCCCAGACACAGTTTCTTACTCAAGGAATTCAACATCACAATCCTAGTATGGAACTGTGATCAAACGTGGGGATCCAGGATGGCAACCTGATTGGTTGGTAGTGATGCCTGAGGTGGGTTTGAGCAGGGCTGTGATTCACTGGGGATGTCTGTTGCTGCAGGGAATGGGGAAGAGTCAGGAGCATGGTAGCCACACACCTGCTGGTTATTTGCTTTCTTTGTTGTTTTAATAATCTACTATGATTATGGCAAAAGAGGGATAAGGGCACTGAGGAGGGAGCAGTTTATCCAGGGTAGAGAGCTTACAAGCAGCATTTTACCAACCTGAGAAGGGATGAGGGATGGGGCCCTAAGGTGATCACTCTGCAGATGACTTGTATCAATGGACCATTATCAATCAATAGGCAAGTAAGTACATTGCGGCAAATTCTAAACAGTGCTTCCAACAAAAGGAGGAGTTCCGTTGTTAATTTTCTGATAAATATGCTTGGCCAGGTTACAAGGAGTTCTGTTTATAAGCCAGTGACAAAGCTCACAGACCAATGGACCACAGGATCTTAGAGCTGGGAAGATGTCCTTGAAGGGCCTGTTCAACCTTCTCATTTTACTGATGTGGAAAATCATTTTACTGATGAGGCCCAGAGAGGGGCATACTTTAACCAAGGTCACACAGCAAAACTAGAGTCGAGCTGGGGTTTGCAGCCGGCATCCTGCTGCCTGCCCCTATGCTCCTCCCTCTCACCGTGCTGCCTCCTGGGGCCTGAGCCCTGGGGATCTGCATCAGATTTGTCTGCCCACACTCATCTTTCCAGGATAAAAAGGCCAAGTCAGATTCCAAGATTCAGGTCAGGTAGATGTACTTCATTTCAGAAATTTGGGCTGTGCTCTGGGTTAGGCCCTGCGCCAGGAGGGTAGAGTGCAGAGAAGAGTAAAGGACAACTCTTGCCAGGACACATCTACCCAGGAAGCCAAAAAAAAAAGATGTTCTCAGGGTCCCAGGAGAGCAGGAACACCAAAACCAGAAGGCAAGAAAAGTTCAGCTTCGATGAACTTACACAAAACCTTGCAATCAGAAATTCTAGAAAGCAGCTTTTAAAATTGCATGCCCCTGTTAAGTGTTGTAGGGCTTCCCATGTGGTGCTGGTGGTAAAGAACCTGCCTGCCAATGCAGGAGACATAAGAGACATGGGTTCAATCCCTGTGTCAGGAAGATGCCCTGGAGGAGGGCATGGCAACCCACTCCAGTGTTCTTGCCTGGAGAATCCCATGGATAGAGGAGCCTGGTAGGCTACCGTCCATGGGGATCACAGACATGACTGAGTATGCATGCACGTTAAGTGTTGTATTAAAATTTTCCAATGAGCAGTGTTCTCATTTTTAATGTCTTTGGGGGAGAGGGCACAGTAAACTTTTCAAGGCTTTGAGCCACTGGAGGTCTGACTCCTGCTACGATCCCTGCAGCGTGCGGAGCAGGACAGGCCTGTTACAACGGATGACAACATAACTCACACTGCAGGTGCTGTGATAGGGAGGTTTTGAGAGCCCAGAGAGAGTGATTAATTCCTTGGGAAACAGCAAGGAGATGCTGACAGGACCCCATAGAGGAGGAGAGGCTGGACATCCCCTCAGTGGAGGGGAGAGTTCAGGCCCAAGGCCATGGCCTCCTTCCACCCAGCTCCCTGCCCTGCATGGGCAGAGGGTGAGACCCTGTTAGGGGTTCCCTGCCACCTGCAGCTTCAAAGGACAGGAAGTAGATATTTATAATCCAGAAGGAAGAGGGAAGCCCTGGCCTGTTACCACAGGGGCACATGCCGGGCCCCCACAGTTCACCCACTTCTTTCCTGCCTCGTTGAACACAGAGGCTTCACACTGCGGCTACGTCAACCACAGCCTGGTCCTTGGGCGCGGCAAGCCAACCATGCAGTAAGTGGGAGAGGAGTGGAACCAAGTGGTCAAGGGGATTTTCTAAACTTAGTTTTACGTATTAATATAATCTGATGATGATCATAAGGGAAATGTAAATGTTTCGTCTTTGATCCAGTAAGATAGTTTATGTATGTGTGGATCTATCATGGAGGTGGGGGATGGCTTAACTACTTTAAGTACATGTTCACATCTTCACTGGGTCCTTGAAAGATGTGTCTAAATTGAATGTCTGTTTTTGTGTGTCTTTTTTTTTTTCCTTTTGGCTGCTTTGGGTCTTTGTTGCAGTGTGTGGGCCTCTCTGGATGTGGTGCATGGGCTCCAGAGTGTGTGGGCTCAGTAGTTACGGCACGTGGGCTTAATGTCTCCATGGCATGTGGGATCTTAGGTCTTCAACCAGGAATCGAGTCCTCTGGATTGGAAGGCCGCAGGTTCTTAACCACTGGACCACCAGAGAAGTCCCTAAATTGAATTCCTTCCTGGGGAAGGTACTGAGACAGCCCAGGGCAGAGGGGAGCCCTTGAGCCAAAAGGCCCCGTTCACTGATTCAGCTCAATTGTTCCCGCAACCTCCTGGACATGATGAATGGCTGAAGCTGAGTCTTCCCTTCTGGATGCTTTTGTTTGTGACTCCAGGGTCTTTGCCCTGTCTCCATCTACGGCGTCCCTGTAGGGACATACCTTGTCTTGGGCTGGCCACGTTCAGCTGCCTCCTCTTCCCTGGGGCCTCTTACCCTCCTGAAGCAAGATCTCTTTAAGGATGACCCCCAACAGTCTGTCCTCAGTTAGGCCACTTCCAACACAAGGGACACTGTGCCCTTTGTCCGCCCAGTGGAGTCATCTGTCATGGCTCTGCCACTGTCACCTTTTGACTTCTCAAGGGTGAGGCTGCTCTCAAGTTCCAGGAGACACAGGTCAGGTTCTGCATCTCCGTTATTGATTACTGAACAAATATCTATAAAACAAATATCTGCCGTGTGCCCCAGGCCCTAATCTAGGCACTTGGGAAAACTTTACAGAAGAAAATAAGACAGAAATCCTTGCCTTTGTGGCACTTCTGTTCCAGTCAAGAGGTGCAGACAATAAACAATAAATATAGTAAACAAGTAGCTGGTAGAGGGTGTTAGACCACCCCAGAGGTGGTCAGCGCTCTGGGGGAAAAGAACAGTGAAGCAGGATAAGGGGATCAGGAGGAAGGTGCAGTTTTCAATAGCATGGTCAGGGTGGGCTGTGCCATTCAATAAGAAGCTAACATCTAGAACAGATATAGGAGACAAGAAACTGGGCATGCGGCCACCGGGCACAGCCTGAGTTCAAGGAGAGTCTCTGGGGCTGTGGCCTGAGCAGAGGAAACGCATGGATCTGGGCTCACTGAGTTGGGACCAGCTTTAACCTGGAGCATGGAATTTTTTTTTTTTTAAGTAATGTGTTTATCTTTAAGTGTGAAAAAAGAGATGAGAACCTGGTCCTTGAAAATGCCCCTGGTTTTTGGGAGCTTGGGGCACAGCTCTCCGAGCAAGGTGGCACTGGCCCAGCAGAGCTCTAGCTTGTCACAGACCTGCTCTGTCACCCTGGACGTGTCACCCCTGTCTGGACATCAGCTCCAGCAGGTCCCCAGGACCTGCAAGGGTCCATGATCCCACTGACCCTTCAGGAGCCCCTCTCCTTACAGAAGGGGGACACAGCCCTTCACCTGGCCGCCCACCTGGCTATGCAGCAGTGACGCGTGGCCGTCAGGCTGGACCTGAAGGAGCAGAATGCGGTGAGTCACCGCCTGGCAGAGGCAGAGATGTGTGAGGTTGGCTTGTCCCCTGCCTTCCAGGAGCCCACAGCTCATGGTGCTGTCTGATTTCTCCCGGCGGGGGCCTTGGAACCAAGAACACGGACATGTTCTCAGATTAACAGCCCGCCAGGAAAAGATGAGCGGCAGCACAAAACTCCAGGCTCAGAGGAACACGGCATCAGGGATCATGGAGCAGTCCTTAACACCGAGTGTGTTTGAAGGAGCGGGAGGTCACATGACCAGAGGGGCGGGGAGCAGAGACAGGAAGGCGAGGAGACATGAGCAGAGCTGTGGGGGACGGACTGAACGCACCAAATGCCCCTCCAGGTGAGAATCAGGCGTGGGGCTCAGGAAGCCACTGATAACCAGGTCATCGTCCGCAGGAGCAGGGAGGGGAGAGCTCAAAGAGCCCGGCAGCCCCAGCCAGAGCGGTGACCTCCGCCTTCGGCTCTGGCCTCAGCCTCCTTAGCTGCCCTCACACCACCGCTCTGGGTTTCAGGAAGGTCTGACCGCCCTTAACGCGGCTGCCGAGGGATCCACCTCACCTGTGTGCAGCGCCTCCTAGAGGCGGGGAGGAGCGCGAACACGCGGCCCGCTCAGGGCCAGTGTGTGTCCTCAGCTGCCGGGCTGTGACTGAGTCGGCTGTGACTGCTGCAGCCACAGTGATTCCTGAACGTGGTGTGAGCAAAGCTATGAGGCAGCAGGCTCAGGTCCTGGACTTGGCTTCTCTACTGCGGCACTCTGTGACCTTGGGCAAGTTACTCTACCTCTCTGAGCCTCTTTTCTCAGCTATAAATTGAAGATGGTATATACTTGTGTGTGTGTTAATTGCTCATTGTGTCTGACTTTTTGCAACCCTATGGGCTGTAGCCCACCAGGCTCCTCTGTCCATGCAATTCTCCAGGCAAGAATACTGGAGTGGGTAGCCATTCCCTTCTCCAGGGGATCTTCCTGACCCCGGGATCGAACCTATGTCCCCTGCATTGCAGGCAGATTCTTTACCATCTGAGCCACCAGGGAAGCCCATGATATATACTTACTTTTTTATTTTGCCGTGAGGACTAAATAGCTAGTGTAGTGCCTGGGACTTAATAGGAGCTCCGTACCCATTCAAGTCTTATTGTTGGACACTTGATAGTTCTCAAAGCCCTTTTATAATGGTTGAATATTATCTCAGAAAAATTTCCCCCATTTTACAGATGAGAAAACTTCAGTGACTTTCCCACGGCTCAAGCTAATAAGAAGCAAAGCTGAGTCTGAGAAGCCTATTTCTCTGACCCCAGAGCTCAGGGCCTGACAGGTTTGCCTTGCCCGGTGGAGTGGGGTGTGTGTGTCTCCAGCTGTGGCCACCCACCCCAGCAATCAGAGCTGAGGCCTGGGTGTGACTCTGGGACAGGCCTCTTTTCTCCCCTCCCATTGTGCTCTGTGAGTTGGCCATAGAAATTCTGTGTCCTTGAAAAGGGGCAGGGGGAGGATTGTTACCTTTCTTTAAGTAGGAAGTTGGTTTTTTGGCTTTGTTTTGCTTTTTATTTTTTGATCAGTGACAAATAATCTTTTTTGGTGGTTGAGCGTCTGAGGGACACTCAGGTCCACATTTCAATAATGTGGCAAAAATAACATTAATAGTGAATAATATAAATAATAGCAAAAACGGAGGAATTAAAAGGATATGCTAAAAAAAATATTTAACACAAAAGAAGGCAGTCTGGGGGAAACAGAATAAAAAAGAAAGGAGACATTCTGAAAACAAATAGCAAAATGGCAAATGTAAATTTAATAATAATAGCAACCATAACTTCCCTTAAATGTAAATAATGCTTTATTATTAGTATTAGTGTTATTTGGGCTATGCCATGTGGTCCGCCGGATTTTAGTTCTCCAACTAGAAACTGAACCACAGCCCTGGCAGTGAAAGCAGTCTTTTAAGTACTGGACCACCAAGGAATTCTCTTTTTTTTTTGGCCAATAATGCTTTATAAGCCCATTAATTTGCAGAACTCCCCTGGAAAGGATGGAGGCTACTACCCCAGGGGTGTCGGGGGGAGCAGGACAACCCAGAGAAGGAGCATGACTGCCCCCAGGCACCCAATCATGGTCATCCATCAGCAAGGCCCTTTCTCTGTGCCCAGCACCAGGCGCTGGGAGGAGCGAGAACGCTGCATGCCATGGCGCCTCCCCAGCAGTAACAGCGCAGGAGTTTAGGAGACTCGGGAGGTCAAGTCCAGCTGGTGGTCACTGGTGAGTTAGAGATGCCCTGGAGAAGAGACTCCAGGCCTCCCTGGGCCTCTTGCTCCAGCCTTGACTTGTTCTGGCAGAGGCTGTGATCCATTCCAGCATTCCCACCCTTTGCAAGGTCATGTAGCAGAGTCTCAGAGGAGCAGCCAACCCAAAGGGATCGCGTTTCCCACCGGGAGGTGGATGGGTTCCCACCCACCTCGTGTACTTGCTCAGACAAGACTTTGGCAGGGTGACCAACTCATCCTGGTTTGCCTCATATTATCCCGATTTTAAAACAGAAAGTCTCACATTCTAGGGAGCCCTCAGTCCAGGGCAACCTGGGACAGCTGGTCACTTAGCAGGTCCTTCCGAGATGAAGGGCCATCCAGGAGAAAGCCCTCGCTCTGGCCCTGCCAATCTCCTCTGTGGACCTGCAGACACCAGCTCCAGCTGGATAGTACGTGCTGGGTGGGGTTTGCCTTGAACTGCAAATCTTATCAGTCCCCCTCTTTGAAAACCGTCTTCTCAGAGTCTCTTCTCTGAGTGTCTTCACTGGCTCAGGATTGTAAAGGCTTTTGGCTTTTGTTCCGGAGTCTGTGACTGGAGGCGAGGAAAATCCTGAGACCATGGTGTGCTCCTTTTACTAGTCACCAGGCCTGGGCAAGTCATTGATTTCTCCCCCTTTTGGGTTTAATGGAGATAATAGTCCCAGGATGGGGGGCTGTGAGTTGTGAATGGAATAATGAATCCCAGAGTGCTTTGTAAACCCCACTGTGAGGGGTCCTGGGGATGCTGCACTGATGCCTGTTTCCTTCTAGAAAAAATCAGAGCTGCCTCCACTATACAGCCCTTGGTGGCTCCAAGGACTTGGTCTGGACCCTCATCCAGGCAGGAAGCAGTACTGATGTGGCTGATCATGTGAGTGGGGGGCGTGGATGAGAGGGGCCACACTGAAGAGTCTCCCCTGACTTGCTGCTCAAAATAGACACGGAGGACAGATTAGTGGTTGCTGAGGGTGGGAGGGGGCAGAGGAGGGAGGAGGGTGTGGTTTTAAAAGGAGAACACAGGCGACCCATGTGGTGATGGAACGCTGCTGTATCTTGACTATGTGATGGATGCATGAACCTACGTATGTACCCATTAATGAAAAAAATTGCATAAAATACACATGTATACAAATGACTGGGAGTGAAATGCGAGATCTGAGTAAGATGGGTATTATCAATGTCAGTATTCTGGTTAGGGTATTGTAGAGTGGCTTTATAAGATGTTACTATGGGAGTGGGGAGAACCGAGCAGATGGATGATAGTGGTGGGAAGAAGGCATCTCACAAGGTCCTTTTGTTCTTTTTGGTTCTTTTGGTTTTTACAAATAATGTGTAAAACAATGAAAAGCAATACTGATCTCTTGCCACTCCCCTTTTCCACCACAACCCCTCCCACCTGTTTCTAGGATGATGAAGGCCGTAAACAGCCTCGTTGGTTACTTTATCTCTGTGGTCTGCTGCTTCCTGGAAAGCCACCACTATAGCTCTGCTGGGTTCCCCAGCTCATCTGAATCGTTCTATGAGCCAGTTTCCCATGTCTGCCCATTCACTCACACAGCAGACATTCTTTTCACCTTATTTTATAAATTTCACAGTTACTTAGCAATGATCTGTTGAAATTCTGTGGCAGTTTTTCCTGGGTTTCTAAATTTTTTTCTAGATGCGTTTTAGAATGCTGTGATGTGCTAAGTCGCTTCAGTCATGTCGGACTCTTTTGTAACCCCATGGACCATAGCCCGCCAGGCTCCTCTGTACATGGGATTCTCCAGGCAAGAATACTGGAGTAGGTTGCCATGCCTTCCTCCAGGGGATCTTCCTGACCCAGAGATCAAACCCATGTCTCTTACATCTCCTCTTTGGTAGGTGGGTTCTTTACCACTAGCACCACCTGGGAAGCCCATTTTAGAATACTTTTTGGCATTTATTTGCAGTTTGGGTTTGGGATTACATTAAGTCTGTAAATAATATAAGATAAAATGGTCATCTTTGTAATATTTTGTTTTTTCACTAGGAATATGTCTTGCCATTTCCTTTATGTCTTGTTTTATACCTTTCAGTGGTGTCTTATGGTTTTTTGTTTGCCTTTGTAATAGTCATTTCCAATTATACTCTTCATAGGTACTTTATGTATTTTGACTGTCATTGTGAATAGACTATCTTTTTAAAACATGTCTTTTCTTGTAGTCATTCAATATAGGAATGTTATTGACTCTGGTATTTTTATCTTCTGTATGACTTTTCGTTAATTTTGCTAGAGTTTTGTTATTGTTGTTGTTGGGGTATAGTAGCTATTTTAACACATCTAGATGTACAATCACATTGCCTACAAATAATCATATAGTTTAAATCTTCTGATATCCATAAACTACTTTTTTCCTGGCCAAAACTATTAACGGTAGTCATGAGTGTTTTTGTTGTGTGTGTGTGTGTTCTGTTCTATAACCTTTTACTGCTCATTATACGAGGGCGTTTTCCAGAGTTACTAATAGTATTCATCTACTATCCATTGATAGTATCCATCTAAAATCCATTGAGTTTTCTGGTTTTGTCCTGTCCCACTATATGTGTGGCACCGTACACCTAGACAGAAGGGTGCTGTGGCAGTAGCCACACTTCATCACGTAGTCAGTGTTCACAGGGAGCACGGGATGGAATCCTCCAGACCCGAGTGAGGCCTGGGCTGACTGTTGGGCTTGGGGTGAGACCTGTGTTCTGGTCCTGGCTGGCTCTCTCATTCATTGATTTCATACATAAATAGTTGTTAGGCACCTACCTAGACCCTGGGGGTAGAAAGTCCAATGACACAAGGTCTCTATTAGTTACGTGTCCTTGGGTGAGTCATGTTAGTTTTATGATCTCATTAAGTGTTCTCATTTGTGAGATGAAAGTACTAAATAAGAATACCATTCCTATATGTTTGCTAGGTTCTTGGAAAGTAAATGAGTTATCAGAGAATTTTAAGGTGGTGTTCCTAGAAGGGACCTTGCTGTTTGTTGCAGCAGGCATCATTTGCTGGATGAAGAGTAGCAGAGAAGCAGGAGACTTGCCCAAAGTTGTGTGGTGAATGCTTGGCACATCAAGGTCTCAAAGGTGGAACTTCGGGCTCCCTCCCACCCTGAGATCAGCAGTGGCCCCAGGAATTCAGGCTTTGGGCTGTAAATGGTTTAGGCCACTCATGTCACCCGAGAAGCGAGAAAGGCCAAACTCAGAAGCACTGTCTACACTCCTCCTAACTCCCATCTTCTAGCACCAAGCTGCAGCTGGGCAGCCCTGGGAGGGACCCATCAACTGATCTGCATGTCTCCCCCCGCAGCAGGGCGCTGCTCCTGTGCACCTCGCCATGGGGCACAATGTCACCGGCCTGCTGCAGGGCCTTATGGATGCCGCAGTGATCTGGTCACTGTTGACAATATAAGTGGCTACAGAAACCATCTGGGCCCCATGGCACCTCTGGGCACCCTCCCAGGCTGGCAGAGTTTGGCTGTGGTCTACCAGCCTGGCCCAGAGTTGAGGAATTGCTTTCTTAGCTTGTAAAAAGCTGTTTGAATATTTGTTGAAGGTAGCAACATTTTATTAACCATTCTTCTATGTTAAGCATTTGGGTATTCCCAAGTTTTTGTCATGATATATAGAACACTAAAGTAAACATCTTCCTATATTTAGCCTTTTCCTTTCATTGATTTTTTTCCCCCCTTAGGGAAAATTACCAGGGCAGCAGTGACTGGGTTCGTCTTGTATAACAAAAGGCTTCTGAGTCCTGAAGCTGTAATCAGAATCGTTTTAAAACCCCCATCCCCACAATTTACCCCCCAATCATACAATCCTTGGGGCGACCATCCACAACCACTAGTAGTGGAAAGCAATTTGACAGAATATAACATGTATCTTTCAAACAGTCAGTATTTGCACAGTTGAAAATTGAGCCTCAAGAAATATATTGAGCTCATGCACCAAGATATTCATTGTAACACCATATCAGTTTTCATTTCAAAAACGGCCCCAATACTTAATAAGAGAGAAGTGATTGGGTAAATTATGGTGGTAGTGGTTTAGTTGATAGGTTGTGTCCGACTCTTGTGGCCCCATGGACTGTAGACTGCCAGGTTCTTCTGTCCATGGGATTCTCCAGGCAAGAATACTAGACTGGGTTGCCATTTCCTTATCCCAGGGATCTTGCCAATCCAGGAATCTAACCTGGGTCTCATGCATAAAATTACGGTACAGACATAGATTGGCTTTTATGGGGCTATGAAAAATGGTGTTTATTGAGTTTATAATATGCAGAAAGTTATACATATACAAAATGTAATATAGAATGATCTCAAATATGTAAAGTCATAAAACAAAAATAATTGCATTAAACAAAAGACTAGAAGAAATGTGCTAAGACTGTAACAGAGGTTGGTTTGGGTGGGCTAGTGAGTGGTATTTTTTCTTTGTTCTTTCTACTTTTTTGTTTTTTACTAAGTTTTCTCTCCTGAATAGTATGTTTATGATTAAACCAAGTTTACCCTTCCTTATAACTTCTTAGAGAGAAATTCTGTTAAGACCCAGTTAACAAGGGAGTGGACCCCCCTTGGTCCTGTCCCAGCTTTGAGCTACACACCATGCCTACATGCTTCTCTGCTCTTCATTCCCTTGGTTCTTCTCCAGAGGAAACAGACACCCCTCCAACTTGCCATGGGGCACGCCTGGTGGGACATAGCAGAGATGCTCCTCATCACTGGGGTTAACTTAAACCTAAGAGATAAGGTACCTCTGCTCACAACCAGCCTCCCTTTTCAAGTTTCACAACTCTGCCTGTGGCAATTGCCTCCTGCTTCCAGAGTGTTCATATCACTGTTACATATCAGCTCAAAGGCAGCCTCCTCCAGGCAGCCTTCCTGCCCCTCCATCACCCTCCCCCATCTCCTCTGAGGGCTCTCAGCACTTGGCCCGACCCTCTCTTGGTCTGTGATAACAGTTGTCTTCTCTTTCATGAGCTCCATCAGACTTTGAGCTCCTTGAGTTGTCTGCTGGGGAGAGGGGGAGAAGACTGGAGGGACCGTGCCTCACCACCCCACAAGCCCCTACATGTGAAACAAGGCTGGCAGAAGCTTCCGGGGTCATGGTGCCTCTGGGGTGGCCAACTCCTCAGGTGGCCAGAGGTTCAAGAAGACCTGAAGACTTGGTATGAGGCTGAGGAGGTCATGGGCCCACGAGGGGAAGGGCCTTGCACACATGGCCCAGCGCTTGGGATGGTGTGGGAGAGGTTGGGGCAGGGAACAAGCCTAGAGGCTGGACCTGGGCAGGGCTCCCTGCTTTGAGCTGGGCCCCAGAGAGCTGGCCAAGCTCAAAGAAGAGCTCCCCATCTTCCCAAGGTCCCTGGAGGTGGTTGAGGCCAGCATTGTGCCCAGGCCTGGGGCAAAGGGCTGAGAGACTGAGCGGAGGAAGCAAATATGACATAGGAGCCCAGGCCCCTTCTCCGGGTTCTGGTTTTGTTACCGACAAAGGCTCTTGGCCTTTCCCAATGGATAGAAATTGATTAGAGGCCAGATAAGAACTTCAGACAAGGCTATACTGGGGCCCTTTCTACAGCAGGGGTAAGCGAGGTGGGGCAAGTTCTTTCCTTATATGGGCTGAGGGTAGGGTTGTGTCCAGAGGTCGGGCTGGAGGGGTAGCTTAGGTATTTGGCTCACCCCTTAGCTGGTGCTGTGTGCAGGGGGCCTGCACAGTATCCTGCTTTTGCTCCCGAACCTCTCTTTTAGCTCCACACTCTTCAAAAGTGGTAGCTGGATTTTTTGGTCTCTTTTGATCTTTGGGATCCAGAATTTGCCCCAACTGTGCCTGCATGCAGTTAGTTTTAGTCTCATATAGTTTCTTTGTATTTTGTTGCTTGAGGAGAGGTGTGTCCAGGTGCAAGCGTTGCAGCAAAGTCTTCCAGGTCCAGGCCTGTCTCAGCTTCATCTGAGAAATGGGGCTGGTGACGTGATCTCACAGACGACCTTGAAGAGTTATATAGGCTGGGTGTTGTTTTTTTTTAATTTATTTATTTTTAATTGAAGGATAAGTGCTTTACAATATTGTGTTGGTTTCTGCCATACATCAACATGAACCATAGGCTGAACCATAAGCTCTAAGGCCTCCTCTTCTAAAGGAACACAAGGGGTGGTTGCTAGAATTATTATTATTGCCTTAGTCTACTGTGACTTTCCACACCTGGAGTTTCTCCCAGGAAACGTTTCTGTTCTCCAGTGTAGACTGCTGGAAACCATTTGCTTTGGACAGGAGGGTTTGTTGTCAGAGCTAGAGACCACCACACACCCTCAAGTACAGACGCTGGCTTCCCTTCTCCTTTCTCACCTGCAGCAAGGAAAACCTGCTCTGTCAGTGGCTGCCCGCAGAAACCCCAGGAGCCTGGTGGACATGATCACAGAAGCCGATCACTTCCACGAATGGGAGAAGCTACTGAGACCCTGTGCTTGGTCTGTCTGTGTTGGAAAGCGAGTAGCCATGGCTTCAGGTGGAGCTGGCTTTGAACCTCAGCCCTGACCAATTCAGGAACCCCTCGGTTTCCAAGGAATGATAATTGCTGCCTTACCTAATGCTAGGGTTCTTTGGGATTATAAAGAGATGGGTGAGCACCCAAACCACCTGAAATAAGGCTGACTGAGGTCCATACCAGTGTGGAGATACTGGTAGACGCTGCCCTAGCTCCTCGTTGATGGGTGAATGCATACACACATGAATAGAGACAACAGTTTGGTTCCAGCTCACTGTCAGCTCCAGGTGATTGGAACTGTGGGTTGGGGTGTTCTATTCAAGCAACTTTCTGAGCCCAGAGGGCTCAAGTGTGCTGGGATTGATGAGGGATATCTGCTCTGGAGTTGGGAAAGAGTAGCAGCAAATGTAAGGTCGGGCATTTGCAGTTCCAGCATCAACAAATGGGGGTGAATGGAGAGTTTTTTGTTTACTTTTGGTGGTTGTTTTTATATACAGAAAATAAAAGTTTGCATTTATTTCAGTTTTGAAATTAATACTACTTTTTTTACAAAATTTAAATCTTAGTTTTCCTTAAACTTTTACATTTATTTTTACATTCTTATTATTGTATTTATTCAACTAGTAAATTTCAACAGTCACTTTCAAGAAAGGCATTTTTTTTAAACGGCTGCATCACACAGCATGTGGGATCTAGTTCCCTGACCAGGGATCAAGCCCACACTCCCTGCATTGGAAGTATGGGGTCTTAACTACTGGACAGCTAGGGAAGTCCCTCAAGGAAACCTTTTGTTTAAAGTTTGGTCCTGATGGTCGCAGAGGAGCCAAGATGGTGGAGGAATAGGATGGGGAGACCACTTTCTCTCCTACAAATTCATCAAAAGAATAACTGAACACAGAGCAAACTTCACAAAACAACTTCTGATCACTAGCTGAGGTCATCAGGCGCCCAGAAAAGCAACCCATTGTCTTCAAAAGGAGGTAGGACAAAATATAAAAGATAAAAAAAGAGACAAAAGAGCTGAGGACGGAGCTCTGTCCGGGAAGGGAATCTTAGTAGAGAAACTTTCCAAACACCAGGAAACTCTCTCACTGGCGGGTCTGGGGGAAGTTTTGGAATCTCGGAGGGCAACCTGACTGGGAGGGGAACAATAAATAAAACCCACAGATTACGTGCCCAAAAGCAACTCCCAGCAGAAAAGTACCCCAGACACCCGCATCCGCCACCAGCAAGTGGGGACGGAACGGAGAAGAGCAGGCGGCATTGCTTAGGGTAAGGACCGGGCCTGAGTGCCCTGAGGACAATTGGAGGGAGCTCTTGTGAGTTACCAACTTAAACTGGGACAGCAAAAGAGAGAGAGATAATTAACCGCCCTGAACACACTGCCGGCCGTTCGCAGAACAAAGGGACCGAGCAAGTCCAGAGAAGAGCTCGCAGGCTGCGGACCGGCCCAGCCCCGCCAGAGGCAGGGGGAGGGGAAAGGGGCAGGCTCGGCCCCAAGGACCGCATCCCCTACCGCACCGCAAAGAGGCCTCCAGTTTCTAATCAAAGACCTCCTGAGATTCTGGATGGTCAACATCCGCTGGGAGGGTAGTGGCGAGACACAGGGTGCAGGCACCCGACCGGTGCGGGCGGAGACTGGGGCTGGGGACGTGGAGGGCAGAAGGCGCTCCACACCCGGGGAGAGTCCGCCCGTCAAGCTCCTGGCTGCCTGAGCCGCTCTGACGGGGAAGGCACAGAAAGCAGGCAAAGCTTTTTGTTCCGCGCTTTTGTGGAACACCTGAGGGCTGGAACCGCGCGCAGCGCAGGGCACGCTCCATATAGAGCAGCCGGGAGCCTGAGCAGCGAAGACGGGGAAAGCAGCGCCCTTCCCTCCCCGCAGCACGATGGAACTAGCAACCTGAATAAGAGACCACCTCCGCCGCCTGTGTCAGGGCGGAAATTAGGCACTGAAGAGACCGGCAAACAGAAGCCAAACAAACAGAGGGAACCGCTTCAGAAGGGACCGGTGCAACAGATTAAAATCCCTGTAGATAACACCGACTACACTGGAAGGGGCCTGTAGATATCGAGAAGTGTAAGCTGGAACGAGGAGCTATCTGAAACTGAACTGAACCCACACTGACCACAACAGCTCCAGAGAAATTCCTAGATATATTTTTACTTTTTTTTTTTTAAGTTAAAAAAAAATTTTTTTTTAATTTTTTCTCTTTTATTTTCTTTTAAAATTCCCTATTACTCCCCCATTACTCCTTAACTTTCATTTTCATAGATTTTTATGATTTTTTTAATTAGGAAAATTTTTTTTTCTTTTTCTTTTCTTTTTTCCTTTTTCTCTATTTTCTGTTTTTCTTTTTCTCTTATTTCCTTTTAAAGTCCTCTATTACTCCTCTACTACTCCTTAATTTTCATTTTCATTACTCTATAACCTTACAAAAAAAAAAGAAGCCCTATTTTTAAACCGAACTTCACATATATTTCTAAAATTTTTTTGTGTGTTTTGGTTTTTGTTTTTAATATAGTATTTTTAAGAGTCTAACGTCTACTCTAGATTTTTAATCTTTGTTTTTCAGTATATGATATAAATTGGGGACATTTAAGAATCCAATATTCAGTTCCCATTTTTATTCAGGAGTGTGTTGATTATTCTCTCCCAATCGTGACTGTTTTCTACCTCAGATCACCTCTATTTCCTCCTCTCCCCTTCTCTTCCCAATCCAATTCTGTGAATCTCTGTGGGTGTCTGGGCTACGGAGAACACTCTGGGAACAGAGAACTGGGTAGATCTGTCTCTCTCCTCTTGAGTCCCCCCTTTTCTCCTCCTGCTCACCTCTATCTCCCTCCTCCATCTCCTCTTCTTCATGTAACTCTGTGAACCTCTCTGGGTGTCCCTCACAGGGGAGAATCTTTTCACCATTAACCTAGAAGTTTTATTATCAGTGCTGTATAGTTGGAGAAGTCTTGAGACTACTGGAAGAATAAAACTGAAATCCAGAGGCAGGAGACTTAAGCCCAAAACCTGAGAACACCAGATAACTCCTAACTACATGGAATTTTAAGTAATAAGAGACTGTCCAAAAGCCTCCATACCTACACTGAAACCAGCCACCACCCAAGAGCCAATAAGTTTTAGAGCAAGACATACCACGCAAATTCTCCAGCAACGCAGGAACATAGCCTTGAACGTCAACATACAGGCTGCCCAAGGTCACACCTAACACATAGACCCATCTCAAAACTCATTACTGGGCAATCCATTGCACTCCAGAGAGAAGAAATCCAGTTCCATGCACCAGAACACTGACGCAAGCTTCCCTAACCAGGAAACCTTGACAAGCCAATCATCCAACCCCACCCACTGGGCAAAACCTCCACAATAAAAAGGAACCACAGACCTCCAGAATACAGAAAGCCCACTCCAGACACAGCAATATAAACAAGATGAAAAGGCAGAGAAATACCCAACAGGTAAAGGAACATGAAAAATGCCCACCAAGTCAAACAAAAGAGGAGGAGATAGGGAATCTACCTGAAAAAGAATTTAGAATAATGATAATAAAAATGATCCAAAATCTTTAAAACAAAATGGAGTTACAGATAAATAGCCTGGAGACAAAGATTGAGAAGA